TGCAGGCTCAGTCCAGGATGTCACAGCCCACTGAAGCTCATCAGAAAGGTACTCTGTGAAAAACTTGAAAACGGAAAGAAAAGTGAACCACTGCTGTAGTGAGAGGTTTTCTGCTGCTTCCCGTTCCACGTTGTCTTTGTCCAAGGTGGCACCTGCCGTTCTCCCGGGTTGTCCTGGCAGAAACTGGGACCTGGAGCCTCCCAGCCCTGAGCGCTGCGTCTCCAGTGTGTGAGCTGCGTTTGCCCTCTGCTGTTGGTTGATTAAACTGTTCCCTCTGCATGATCCAAAACGGGAGTGTAGGAACAGCAAGACCTGGAGAACCAGAATGGTTACCCTCGAGTTTCAAACACGCTTACAAATCGTGACACTTAAAGAAGTGACACCCCAGAAAGGGATGAGACTTTAGTATACCTTTGTTTTATATTCTCAAGCTTTTCTTTGTAATCACAAAGACCAGAAACCTCTTTTTTTTATTTAGTTAGTTTTCATTTTTCCCTAAGTAAAAACCAAAAATTAAGCCCCTCTGAGACCAGGGATTCAGGTGTGACTGAATCTCCCTGCTGAGAGCAGGATGAAAGGCAGGATGAGCCCACAGAGGAAGGTGTGAGCAGAGATGCCCTGGAATGGTAAGAGCTGCTCAGCAATGAGGAAAGATGCCCTGGGCTGAGGGCTCGGGTGGCTCTGGTTTCTCCCCCTGCTCTGGCATCCCAGAACTGCAGAGCTGCTCCCACCTGGGCCCCAGGCCTGCTCCCTCTGCCCTCTCCTGCAGCCATCCAGCCCTGGCATTGCCAGGATGCCCCAAACACCCAGGAAAGGACACAAGGGCTTGTCAAGAAATCTCTTGGCATCTTGCCACGTGTTTGCAAGCTGAGATCAGCACTCAGGCTTCTCTTGTTGCTGTTTGTTTTCTCCCTGGCTCCCAGCAGCCTCTCCCTGTGCTGTGGCCACTGTTGCCCTGCACAGAGGGGCTCAAACAAAGGTGTGGCCATGGCTGGGGAGATTCCTCTGGGCTGGTGAGATTCCTCTGGATGTCCTCCCACTCCTCCCAGGACTTGTGGGCAGGGCAGGGACTGACCTGGAGTGTCTCTCCTGCATTCCCAGCTGGCACCAGGGAGCTGGTGCCCGTGGATGGCTCAGCCCGGGGAAGGAGCAGCACATGGGATGTTCAGTGCTGAGATCTTCCTCACACCTCCCTTTGGAAGTGGCTGCTGGGATTGGCCACTGTAGGAAGGCTGCAGATCATCTCTAAAGTGCTTTCCCACAGCTCCTAGGTGGAGATTCTGTTCCATGCATGGCTGAGGCTTCACAAGGTAAGTGTTGAACTGGCTGTAACAGGGGGACACAGGAGGGAGCTGATTTTCCTGGCTCTCTGACCACACAGTCCCTGCCTCAGGTGACTCCTGAGCTCCCAGGGCAGCTCTGCAAGGAGCACTGACCCAGAGCAGGACATTTCCCACTTCTGTCTCTCCTTAGACTCCTTCACAAGGCTGAGAAAATTAATAATAATGGGTCACATTTGCAAGCACCACAGAAATGTAAATGCTGAGGGTCTTTATGGGCAGTCAGCAATTACAGAGAAGAAAATTTATATATATATATGTATATATATAGACATCCAAATTGCCTAGGCTGTTCTCAAAGGGCAGCAATGACTGGTCCTTTTGCATGGCTGTTTCAGACCTTGGATATCAAGTAAGGAGAGCTGAAAGATGGATAACAGCTTTGCATCTGGAGAAATGGATCCTCTAGCTGGTATGTGGGCAATGAGCTTCCATTTTCCTCTGCACAGTCATAGCAGAGACTTGAGTAACTTCATTTTAAACCGAGGATTTATCACCTATGGAAAGACTTGAGTGCTTAGTTTAGTCTGGACTGCATGACTTCAGGCATAGTGGAGCAAATATTTTGAAGTTTGGAGAGTGCTGGGCAGTTTTGTAGCTGCTCAGAGCTCTCAAAGCAACACCAAAGCTCTCACTTTCATGCTGCTTTTTAACAGAAATCTATGAATCTTCCTCAGCCTAAAATCATCACAGCTCAATTTCTGCTCGATGTATTCAATAAATTCACTCCAGGAGCTTCTCTGCACCTGATGTGTCACTTTGGTTTTTTTTTCCCTAAAAAGACATGAGCCGTTCTTGCTCTCACAATGAAGCCTGAGTGGGATGTTTTTTGTAAGTAACCACCACAAATAGGACTGAATTGAGAAATTCAGTGCAGTCTTTCTTAAATATGTGCCAATATCAGCGAGGATTTTGCTGAATAAGCCCAGAGATCATGAGCTCTGACAGAACTGAGCACACACTGAAATACAAAAGCAGCCCAGACACAGTTTTTCAGGAGCAGTTCTGTGTTTCAGCCACCAGCTCTGTGCTCTATTCTGGCTTGGGCATTTTATAGTGAAGATGCTAAAACATGTTTTCCATCTCTTGACTCCCCAGACGTGGCCTTGGCTTGGAAGAGTCTCCAGGAGGCCAAAGCAGTGGTAGGTGTGAATCAGGAGACACTTGCTGTCACATTCCTTTATCACTTTCTCTCAGCTACCTGAGCATCACCTCCACAGAGTTTAATTCCATGGATATATTGTCACTGAAACACATAAACATGCTGTTTGGGTCGTTCTTTTCCAATGAACATATCACCTCTTTAATCATTTGCTAAATATGATTAATAATATATTAATAAATAACAAAAAGAGGGTAAAGGGAAAAAGCAAGGAATCTTACCCAATTTCACAACACTCTTCCAAATTAATGACAAGAACAGACAAAGCTTGGCCTTGCTTGTGTTTGAAGCCCTGAGCAGAGTAATAGTGTCACTATATTATAGCTGACACTCACTGAGCTGGGACATCTTCTGAATTCTCCCTGTCTTATCATCCTCTTGATAGGGAACATGATACTGTTGATAAGAGGCACATCAGAACTGGTATTGCTTGGATAAATCAGAATATTATCCAAATTCATGGGGTGTTGCTTGCACAGCAAAGGCCTGGCACCAGGATCCCACTGTTGGAGTTGCTTTTGGCTGGGTTTGCCTCCAGCTTAAGCTGTTTTTAAAAACATCAGTAAAAATCTGCAGCCCAAATACATGCAAAGTGTAAATAAAAAGAGAGGTGATTTCATCTCTTATCTTCCCAGTCAACTGCATTCTTTCCAACTGTAGGAAATGCCACATGGAACATGCTCAGACATGCCAGTATTTACCCAGTAACTAGGAGTTGCAAAATTAATCAGAGAAGCAGTGTGTGCCAGCAAAAAGCTACCAGGGGGAAAAAAAAGCCCCAAACATATGTCACCCTTCAAAAGAAAAATCTGCCTTTTCACAGCTACAAAGGATTGAAAACAAATTTTATCATCAAACATGGAGTGGTGCCAAATCTCAGGCAGCCAGAAGAAAGCTTTGGCACGAAAAGAGCTTTGGTGAGTTCTGAGTTACTGGGAAACTGCTGAGATGGGACTGCTTTGGTGCTGGAGGGAAGGGAAGGCGACAGCAGACAGTGAAAAACCCTCTTTATTGAGGGAAGTGTCTATTTTTGTCAGCTTTCTGTGATTTCCCCAGCAAAATATCACAAGGCACACGGAGTCACACCTTGCTGAAGAGAGCTCAGGCAAAAGCTGCAGCACAGTAAAAGCTCCTTTTGCTTCTCCTCTGAGGTGTTTTCCCTAGAGATAACTGAAGGGATGCAAATGCAGCCTTCTGTTTGCTGACTCTAGAAGGAAACACAATTGTGTTTAAAATCTTTTCTAAAAGATGAAGTGGGAGAAGGCAAAAAGTAGGAAATCCAACCAAATTCCAGAAGACTCTTAAAAACCAACGACAAGAGCAGACTTCATTTATTATTCTTTATTTGCATCTGCTGGGTATTTGTTTTTGAGGTGGCTTATTGGCTGGGAAGAGTTTCAGCTGCCAGCTTTCAATATTTATGGCTGTTATTTCCTCCTGGGCAGTAGAGGTTTGTGCCATCCCTGCCTGGACCCTGCTCTTGGTAACAAGGATAGCAAGAGGTGTGAGATGATCTCTTGCTGGAGTTTGTGGTTTTCCTTGGGAACCTTTGTTTTTCTTCCCAAGCCATTTGAACAGGGGAGGGAAAGATGTTTGGCACTGGGTTTAAATGACAGGGGTGAGATGTGACCTGGTGGAGGACACTTTAACACTCAATCCTGTGGGATTCAGGTACCTGGGACACAGGGGGCTAAAGGCAGCACAGGTTTCTGTGCAAGCTGGTGACAAATCCTCCCTCTGCCCTGGGTGGCACAGACAGAGCCCACACAGAGATTTTTACACCAAACTCTCACCTTTCCATCCCAGAACTGCAATTCTGGCAGGATCTTTCCCTAGAAAGGAATGAAATGTTACCCAGGTGTCCAAAGGGCCAGGTTTGGTGGGGGAATAGTCCCCAGTAAAAGGAGCTGTTTGAATTGAGTGGTTAAGGAGCATTTCTGCCATTGACATGGTTTTGCTGTGCTGTAGATGGCGAGAGGAACAAAGATGAGACAGCTCTGAGTGAGAAAAAGAGCAGTGAGATTCCTCCAGCTCAGAGGTAAACAGTAACCTGAAAGTACAGCACTTGGGGGATGAAGAGATGAAACCACACATAGAGGGATTTAAAATTCTGGGATGCAGGACTTTAGAAAGAGTTTAGCACATTATTGTTTATTAGGAAAAAAAAAAGAAACAAAAAGTCACCAATTTCACCCTCAGAAATGCTGACAACAAGACACTGGAGGAAGGCAATCCCTGACATCAGCTCTGTGTTTGTCTGCCCATGCTCATAATTACTCTTATCAGACCATTGTTTGCATTTTACTTCCCAAAGATTATCTTTGTTTGCCAGACTTCTGGTAACTGGCAAAATGCTGATCCTGTGGAGACACTGAGATCACCATCAGAGCATATTGTAGAAACTCAGCAGTCATTCATGTCAGTGTGCTGACCAATTTAATAACACATCCTACATGTTCACTCTTGGTTTTCTTTTTCCTTAGAAAGGTCAGCCCTGCCTGGTCACAGACCTGTTTGCCTGAGAGCCCTGCTGTGATCTCTGCCCCTTCCAGAATGATCCCTCTGTCCCTCAGGGAAGCCTCACACTCAGCACCTTCCAGCCCTTCCAGGAGCTGGGCTGTGGAAGGCACAGCTGGGCCATGGGCTCCTGCAAAGAGCCTGTGCAGACCAAGAAGGGACAATTTCGGGGATCAGGCAGATTCAAGAGGTCACACAGCACAGCAGCAAAGACCTCCCTGCTCCGTGCATCACCCACCTCACTCCCCTGCAGGGAGCAGGTCATTCTGCCCGTGGGGCAGCTGGAGCAACATCCCCATGGACCACCTTTCACCAGCCAGCAAGGCCAGTGAGCAGAAGCTGGAAGAGCTGTGGAAAAAATCACCCCAAAATAAGTTGGAGCAACTCAAGAAGAAGATTCAGGAGCAGAAGCAAAGGCAGCAAGCAGGACCCTGGGAGCAGAAGCCCCTGATTTCTGCTAAAGAGCCACTGCCAAAAAGAGCCCTGAAGAGAAAGGTGTGCAGGGTGGGCTCTGCTCCTGCTGCTCCAGCTTACAGAGGTCAGTAGTAGTCTGGGATCCATGGAGAAAGGCTGGAACTGTGCGTTACCCAGCAGAGCTTTGGCACAGCTGAATAACTTCCCACACAGCTTCCCCCCCACCTTTGGTCCATGTTGGGCATCACCCATGTTCTTGTGATAAATCCATTTACTTCTGCAGCTACAAACCTCCCTGGGCTGTCCATCCCACCCTGCTCCCTCCTGAGGTCACTTCTCCACTGGATTTGCTTCCCCCAGCATGCACAAATTCATTCATTTCTTTCCACAGAATAGTAAAGAATTTGCTGCAAATCTGTTTTCTCCCCTTTCCTCCCACATCCTTTTGCCACATGTAAAGCATGGAATGGGACACAGCAGTACAGTAGTGCAGAGGCATCACAGGTATTTAAAGCAGGAATTGTGCAGTTCAGAGGCATTACAGGGGATTTGACAGTTCATTCAATGGAACCACTGTGGATCTGAAAGCAAATATTATTAGACTCTCCTTATCCTGCTCTGCTGCTAAATTTGGGGCTGAAGAACCCTCCATGTACAGCTGTCACCTTAGTTTAGTGTGGTTTAAGATCTCAGATTGCTGTGAGCAAGGCATGGAGCTGGGAGCAAGGCCTGCCTGGGGAGAGCCCAGCAACCTCCTCAGCCAAGGGGGATTACTGAGGGAATGTGGGACTAGAGGAGAGGAGCTGAAAAGCTGCACATAATAAATCTTATTGCTGTAATAGCATTAGTGTTAATTCATTGGGTGCTGGCATCCCTGTCACACACCACCAACTTCCACAGGCATTTCCCTTGGATTTGCTCCCTGTCACCTTTTACAGTGATGTTTGGAGGTGTGTTTTGGTGCTCCCCTGGGGTCTGTGGGAGCCAGACATCCCTGCTGCCACCTCCCCTTTCCAGCTGCATCAGGCAGTGCTTTCTGTCATGTAACCCCTCCTAATACCCAGAAGCCAAAGCCACAATCCGGGCTGAGCCTCTTTTGAACATCCCAAGGGAAGGCTAGTTTTGTTTTTAACCCAGATCATTTTATGTAACTGAGTCAGGGAACTGCCAGACAAACCATTCAACTTGCACAGCAGAGGCAGCCCGTGAGGCTGAGGATTAGCAGCTCCAGGCACTCAGTTCTGATGCATCTAGTTCAGTTTGTCTCCCTGTACTCTACCACTGAAAAAAGTGTGTCACAGCTGCTTGGCCAGATAATCCCTGTGTCACACACCTGCAGTGCAGCCCAGGGAGCCACTTCTGCCTTTCACACATCCACGAGCTCAGTGCTGCTGGGCACCAGCATCTGCACAGCTCCTGGGAGCCCTGACGGGTCTCAATACCCTGATTGTCTTGGTTTCAGTGCTCTGAACCTGAGGTCTGCTCTCTCCTTGCCTGATGAAGGGCACAGAAGGCCAGGCAGAAAGGGACTAATCATCCCTGGACAAGGAAGGGGCTATAAAAAAGCACCCAAGACCCCAGGTTAGCAATGAGGTAACATCACAGCTTGTTAGAGGCAACTTGCCCAAGCATCCAGTGTTTGTTAGAATGGATCTCCAGAGGTACCAAAGGGAAGGGGTCCCACTGCACCCACTGGATGTACCAGTTAGGTCAGGGCCATGCTGTATGGATAGACAGGGTCATGGATAAAACCTCAGGAATGAATCCAGGCCAATGCTTGCTTTGCTGGGACATCTGTACCACAAAAAAACCCCAAGAGTCCTGCTTGTTTGGTGACCAGCTTCATTAAAAAGACTCCTTGCTTTTGCATTCCAAGGGAATGGGACTGGGATTGGTTTGTTGGGTTCAGCAGTCATGTCTGAAGTTTGATTTTAGCTGCACACTAATTTTTTTCTGTGTTTTATTTTCCCATCCTGATTAAAGACCAAAGAGAGAGAAGCTCAGCACAGAGAATCCAAACGCAAAGCCAGAGGCAGCCTCCACCCAAATCCTCTCTTCTGAAAAAAACAGGAGGGAAAGGTAAGGATGAAAATCATGAGAAATTAGATGGTCTGATGGACAAAACTACTGGAAGCTGGTGGCATCTGGAAACTCACCCGCCAAAATTTACTGCTGGTTGTTAAATAACACCAAATCCTGGGATCCACAGCCAAGGACCCAGCAGGTTATATGAGCAGGTACCAAAGAAAATCAGTGAAGGAACCATCACTCATTCCAGGAGGTAGAAGATGACTCCTGGCAGCACAAGGTGAAAAGGCTGAATTTCTGGGTGAGCTGCAGGTGAATCGTGCTGAGGCCCCCAAAATGAGGTGTTAGAGTGGCCACCCAATCCAACTTTCTGTCACTGGACTTTTGGGTACTCTTTGGCAAGTCCCTTCCACACAAAACCCCCAGCCACTCCATGGGCAGAATTTGCCACAAGCACCCTCTGTGCCCATGGGCATCACCCAAAAACCAGCCTGTGTTACTTGTGACAATCTGTCACACCACTGCCTGCAGCAATTGAATGCCAGACCCGCCAGGATTAAAAATCATCAGAAGTGAAAAATAAGTCATATGTCCTCAGTGGGAAGAACTGTCTGTCACCTGTTCAGTTCTGTGTTCCCTGATGAATTGAGTGCCCCCAAAGGCAGGGAGGTCCTGCCAAACAAGGTGTGAAAAGTCAGATGAATAGTCCAGAACTAACTACAAAGTCGACAGTGGGAACAGGAATCTCAGTTGATGGTTCTCAGTTTTATTTGAGAGGTCTGAGGGCAGATTTGAATATCTGGTGCCATTTTACCCACTTAAGGCTATTACTTTGAGTAAAAGTGGTTGCATTCAGATTTTGTGGGGAACAAGGCAAAGAGTGGAAGTGCTGTGGGTTGTACTTCACACCAGCCAAGGTACCAGGGAAGTAACTTGAGTGAAAGAAAAAAAACCAAGTAGATGGAATTATGAGCATAGTTACATCCTGTGCTCTACTACCTAAGTATGATTTAAAATGCATGAAATATGTAATAATTTCCTTCTCCCTCCTTTTTTTTTTTTGTTTTAATGGATTGTTTGAAAAATGGCTTGATCTTCCTCTGAGAGTGGGTCATAATAAGACCATGCCACGTGAAGCATTCATCATTGTAACTGCCAGTGTCATGGTGTCTTTATTGGCTATTAGTTTCTGTCAGGGAAGGAGCCAAGGCAGGGCTACAAAGAGATGAATGAGGGGCAGGGGTCAGAGCCAGAGTACTCAGGAATTTGATGAATTATAAATTTGCTGTAGTTAACAAAAAATTAAGTCACAACAGCTATAAAATATTCATCTGTTCATAGGTAGGGGGGGAAAAAACTCACCCAGGAGAATATTTAAATCAAAAGATTTTCTTCTATTAACTGTTCTCATCAGAAATGCAGCTGCTCTTGAACTTTAGCATCATAGTTTCTGTAGTTAATGAACACTGTGCAGATAAAAAAGAGATTTAATTGAAATCAAACATCACGGTGAAGCAAAGATTGTTAGGTCTATACATTGGTTTGGTGTGTTCAGAGAAACTAAGAGTGTACAAAATAAGTGCACCCTTAGTTTTTAGTTCTGCTAAACTGGGAAACAAAGTGATCCAGCAAGTGTTTCCTTAAAGACACGGATGGATCCCAGCCCTCCTGAGCCCAACAGGCTCTGGCAATTCCATCCATGTTGCTGCTGTCACACACCAAACTGCACAGATCTAGTGCTTCATACTCTGAGAGCTTCCCAAGGAATTCCATGGGATTGTAGGAAGTGACTTCAGCCCCACAGAGAGTGAAGCTCTTCCTTGTCTGAAAAACATCATTCCCCTTGTGACACGACCTAAACCCACAATCCAGATGAGCCTCCAGAGCACTTCAGGGGCTGCTGCAAGTTAAAAAATAGAAGTAAATGGCTCTGACTCCATCAGTGGCCATGGTACAGAGGAGATGTTGCCTTGCAGCTGTTCCCAAAGCACAGGGGAATCTCAGGGCAATCCCACTGACCAGTCAGTCTCTGGAAGTTCTTCATGTCCAACAGCTTCCCTGACTCAGAGATGCTGCCACAACACACAGACAAGTTACTGAAGAGAAGCTGGAAAAGCCTGACTCAGAGCACTGAAACACATCTTTGAACTGATTTAAGAGTAAAATATTTCCTAGGAAAAAAAATAGCTTGAATATTTTAATTGGGAGAGAATCTGGGGGGAGGAAGGATTTCCATGCAAAACCCAACTAAGTACCTGTTTGGTCACCTTGAGCTGGAGAAGTGTTTGCAATAAATACATAATTGTGCAAGTATTGGCATGCTGTGAATGCAACCTGAAATTATGAAGTAAAACAGTGATAAATGTTGTCTATTATATGACACCGCCTATTAGGCAGCAGTAATTTGTTTGTGCCTCGTTCTGCATCATTTATATCTGCATTATACATTGTCCCTCATCCCGTGTCGTTCATTGATCCTTCCACACCACATCCTGCTGAGTCTCACCACTTTAAAAATGAATTAGTTTGCTCTAGTGAGTTTGAAGTAATCACAAGGAAAAGAATAATTTTGTTTTCCCCTTTCTGTCCAGTTCTCAAATGTGCTGGTACCCAAATAAAGACTTAATAGAGTTACAATTCTCTTTCAAAGAACATTTGGGGGCTAATCATAGAATAATAGAGTAATCATAGAATAATTCAATACAAATGCTGTATTTCAGGTGTGAAGCTACCTGGTGCTTCTGCATGGAGAGAAGGTCAGAAGTTGGCCAGAAAGTTGCTTGGTCGACCCCCTGAATTTCCAAATCTGAGGAGCAGAGCTGCAGAGCAGAGCACAGCAAACACCCTCGGTACAGCTGCTTCCCTCCAACACTGGGTGTTTTGGCACACACAAAAAAAGTGTTTTATCAAACCTGAGAGAAACAAAAGGTTTCCAGGCCCTTCTGAGCACCTTTTCCTTTAATGACTCTTGCAATAACAATTGACCACTTCAAATTTCACCTTTACAGATTAGATTTATCTTCTCCCTTGAATGTCACAGGTTTTACAACACCTGAAAATAGTGCTCAGACCTAGAGCAGGTTTTGAGATGCACATGACAGATACAGGAATTGATACTCTCTGGAGTAATAACACCACTGTTGTTTCCAAATGTTTCCTACAGAACTTGATAGAGGATTTGTGGCAATGCCAGCGATGGAAAACAGCTGGAGACACAAGGGAAGTGAAGCTGCAGGGAAGAGCCCTGAATTCCAAAGCTGCAAGGCTGTGGAAAGGGGCAGCAATGCACCAGCTGAGGATACCAACCAAGCACTCAGGGACCTCCACTTCCAAAGCCAGTTCCATGATGAAAGCAGACATACCAGGCTCCCAAAAGATACTGTAAAAGGAAAGGGATCCCTAGGGAATGTTCTGCAGCAATCCTTAGGGATCCATTCTCCTTCACCTGGACTTTGGGGCATAACTCCCTCTGCCTTCAGTGGGGAAAGGATAAAACCTTCATTAATGAAAGATGGAGCCAAGACCAGCACCTCAGGAAGCTGCAGCAGAGGGAAAAGTGCATCTCCTCAGAGACAGAAAGGCTTGAGCAGCCCTGCACAGAGAGGATCTGAGAAAGAAAACCTTAAGAACCCTTCAAAGAGGAGGGTAAACCTCAAAAAACCTCACCCCTACGGCCCCGAAACTGTGCGGGAATTCATGTATCGCAAAAAGGAAGAAAGAAAGAAAAAACTCCTTGAGGAGAAAAAGTCCTTGGTGGAGGCTGCAGAGATGAGGAAGAAGAGATTGCAAGAGGTGTACAGGAAACAGAGAGAAGCCATTGGGAAGAAATCAGGTCCTGACCAGATGCACAAGTTCATTGGGAAAACAGCTTCTGCAACAGGAAATCCTCAGGGTGAGCTTGAGCAGGTAAGTCCTCCAGGAGTGGCACATTGAAACCCCTCCAATCTTGATCAGCACCATGTAGGACATGAAACACTTCATTCAAATGCTTTGAGGTGTCAGGGAGAAAAGGTTTTATCTAGAAAAATGGTGCAATTAATTTGTAATTATGGCAAGAACTGCTGGGCTTATTAGTAGGGCTGAAACCTCGACTTCAGGGCCAAAAACCTGGAAATCTCCATTGCCTGAGCTGAAAGAACAGGTTTGCTGTGTGGTATGAGCAGTTTGCCAGTTACACGAGTCAATTATTAAGTGGAACAAAAGCCAGATATTACCCTCCTGATGTCATCTGTTCAATGCTTACACTGATGGCTCTTCTCTTTCAGGAGCAAACCAGTGGGGGAATCCGGGAGAGGAGTTCCATGGCCTGGGTGGATGAAGCATCCTGTCCTCTATTACATAAAGATCATGGAGGCAGGTACTCAGACTTCAAAAGCATCCTAGAAAGCCTCTTTCTCAGAACACACTGCAGACATATTTCATATTTCTCTCTCTCTTTTTTTTTTTTTTAAAACAGGAATCAACTTCAAAAAGGAGGGGCATTATCTCCTCCAGCACCACTGGAATGTGAATGCTGCTTTCTCAGTCCTCTGAGATGTGAAGACTTGAGGGACTGCTCTCCCCCAGCTCTGCATTCATCTCTGAGCTTTTCCCCTCCTCAGAAAGATGCAAAACCTTCCTCCAAGGACTGGACTTCTGGACTTTCTCCTTACAGGAGCAAACAGGAGCGAGTGAAAGCCATTCACAGTCTATCCAAGGAGCTTGAAGAAAAGATTGACGTGGCAACCAAGAGGCTGAGTGCAGCAAGCTGGGTTAGAGACTCTGCTGACAAAGCATGGGCACAGACAGCTCTGGACCTTTGCAATGAGTCTTCTTCTGTCCCAGAACTTGAGACTTCTAGGAACAAGGAAGACAGGACACTGACTGCACAAATGCTCCTGGATGCTGTTGATCCCAATGTGCTCCGTGTGTCATCCAACAGGGGATTTCATGGACTGGACAGGGTTGGACTTGGGGGTAGCACTGAGGGATCAACAGCCCTGGACAGACAGAAGGAAATGCTTGTTCTTTTGCCTGGTGGGAGTGCTGGGAGAGAAGAATTACCCTGGATCACTCACAGAGCAGGACAGAGGCACCTCAGCACTGGGGGAGACCTGAGCAACACATTGCAAGGTAAATCATGAAATGATGCAACAGGGAGACTCAGGTGCCATTGCCCCAGTCTTTCAAAGCTACAAAGCAGTGGTTAATCCTCATCTGCCTTGGGCTATTGGAAGTGTTGTGTCTTGGAAAATCCTTGAGTACTGGGTCTTCTAGACTTTACTTTCCTCTCACTGCACCTGTGAAACTATATCTTAATTCCCAAAAGAAAGGAATTATGAGCCTAACCCCATGTACTTGGAAATCTGTGGATAAGAAGAGCTATATAGAAGTTAAGTGCTCACACATAAGGAGGCAGTGAATAGATGCCAGAGCTTGGGCCATTTCATTTCTACAAAGAGCATATTTATTAAATGCCTTCATTTGTCTTTTTAAAAGGTTTCCCTGTGAGTAAGGGCCCCGAGGTGGACAGGAGCCTACTGCATGAAAAGCCAATAACCAGCCCAGCCTCTCCAGCTCACAGATTCCTCTCTGGAAGGTAAACAAACCTGGATATATTATTCTCTGCTGAATGTGCCGCACACACACACACACTTAAAATAAATAGCACCAATTCTGCACGGAGCAGACAGCTCTGTGCTGCTTACCCAGAGAATTTCCACGTAGGGCACAAACTAAAAGAGGGAAACCACCTATTTCTAGGGAGTTGGTGGATCAATGAGGAACATTGGGCTGAAGTTTTAGAGAGATGGAGCTGGATTTGTGCCCCAGGAGGGAGTGCTGGGAGCAGAAGGGGAGCTGTCTCTCGGTGCAGCCCAGCCCTGCCCGCCTGCCCGTGAGAGCGCTGCCTTCCCCTTCCCCCCGGAGCGGGGGCAGCCCCGGGGCCGGGGAATCCCCGGGAGCTGTGGGTGCCATGGGGGCGGTGGATCCTCCGGAGGGGTTGGGTTCCCCGGGAGCCGTGGGTTCCCTGTGGCAGGTGGATCTCCCGGGGCCGGTGGGTTCCCAAGTGATGGTGGATCCCATGGAAGCTGGAGATACCCCGGGGGCCGTGGATCCCTCGGGGGCGATGGATCTCTCGGCAACTGTGGGTGCCCTGGGGGCGGTGATGGATCCCTTGGGAGTGATGGATCCCCTGGGGGCGGTGAGTTCCCCAGGGGCTGTGGGTGCCCCGGGACCGATGCTTGCCCCGGGGTCTGTGGGTTCCCCAGGGGTTGTGAATCCCCTGGGAGCCGTGGATCCCTCGGGTCCGATAGATTCCCGGGTCCGGTGGATCCCCAGGGGTCTGTGTGTTCCCCTGGACCGATGTATCCCCGCATTCCTGGTCGGATTCCTCTCTCTCCTGCCGTTCCTCCCTCCCTCCGCCGGAGGGCTCCGGCAGCCGCGGGACGGGCCGGGGGTCCCTGCGGGCACCTGGAGAAAGCAGGGGTCAGAGCGTGGGGATGATTGAGGAAAATAGGTTTGGAAGTAGGAAATTTAGAAAAATGGATTAGATTAACGCGGGTTGTTTTCAGCCTGCCTTAATTAAATATTTAATGTAGATGGCGGTCGATATAAACCTCTCTGAATTTAGCCTGTGTCTTAGAGGGCAAAGACATATTTGTGTAACTGCCCCAGGTGGGTCATGTCTGGTGACAGGAGGGACTGTGAAGGGACGTGTTAGTTCAGACACAATCACTACTCAAAAATTGTCCAGAGAATTATTTCTCTGATTTTAGGCAACACCTGCAGGTGTCAGAACATGCCTTGCCCAGCCACGGAGAAGGACAAAGCCAGAGCCCCCTGAGGGGCCACACATCCCTACAGAAACATCTTCCCTGAGACAGTAAATCCCCTGAGCCCTGAAGATTACATATGACCTGGACAGGCATTACCAAAGAAAGGACATATGTGCAGCAAACTGGCAACCATGTCCCAAACATCCTGTTCAGAAGAGGGACGAGGTGTTGGTGCTGTGGGATCCTGCCAGGCAGGGATGGGCTGGCTCTGCTCCATGGGCACTCTGCTGGAGCCAGGCTGACTGTGCCAACCTACCTGCACCGAGCTGTAGTGGGAAAAAGAGCATGTTGTGGTTTTTTAAGTGAAGGTGGGATATTAAGCTCAGCATTCTTTTTAAGAAGATTGTTTACAGCTTTACAGCGCAAAAGTAAAGACGAGGAAAATGAAAATTGGAGAGATAAGCCCAGACAGCTCAGCTTACCAAAGTTATGAACTGTAATTACTGGAATTACCAGGAGTTAAACCCCTGTTCTTTGTGCACAACTACCACACTCACAAAGGTTGGGGTGATTTCTGCTCTGAGAGATCATTGCAAGGATTATGGAGCTGTTCTGTCACAGGAGATGGCAAATGTATAAAACATGAGCACTGGGCACTCAGAGTGTGCAGTGGAGAGAGTCAGAGCTGTGCCTGCACTGCACCTGGGGGAGCACAGAGCACCAGTCCTGGGGTCCATCATTCTTGTCGTGCTTCTCTGCAACCCTAATTCACAGCAATGGCAGTAGGGGCAGAACCCCCTGGGCCCCAATGGGAACAACCCCCCAGCTGTAAGGGACAAGCATCAGAGCAAGTGGAAATAAGACAGATTGCACTGATCTCCTGAACAATGCAATTACTGAGAAAGCAAAGCTCCCGTGTGTTCGAGCAGCCGAGGCAAAGAAAGTCTTCAGAGCAAAAAAAACCCACCAATAAAACCTCTCCAACCATAAATCACAACCCTGTTGCAAGTGCTGCTCCAAAAGATGAGGAGAGCCACTTGCAGATAAAATATTGCTGTATTTAGAGATTAGAAGTGGAAAGTGTTGCTCTGTTGTGAATGACTCCAGACTCATCTCCTTGTGGGCTGAGGGCTCCTTTGATGCAGCAGGGACAGTAAGGGGACAATACAATGCAAGACCACCCCATGTCTAACCTTTCTTAGCTACTGATAAAGTGGATAATACAAAGGTCAGAGTAAAAGCCTGGCTTTTGTCCTTGGCTTTTATTTTCATATTATCTACGGTCTAATTTTGCACCTTTCCTGGAGCCTGCACCCTCACAGGAAGGAAAAGAGGATAAGTCCTTTGGCACAAACCAGTGGGCAGCACATGGCAGGGACATGGTGAGGCTCCTGTCATCAGGTTATTCCTGAAGCTGATCCATTATCAACTGATTCCCACTGAGGGCACACAGATGAGATCAGACAGAAAGCCATGTGGTGAGGGAGCACCGGTTACCTCGGTTACCTCAGTCACCTCAGTTCCTCAGTCACCCCAGTCACCAAAGGAGGTGGCTGAGGAACTTTCCAGGGTCATGATATCTCCTGCTCCAGGAACATTTGCACTGTGAGTCCATGAACTCCATGTGGGGGTAGGGAGTGAAGGGAGCCTGTCTTTTGACTTGCACAGAAAACTTCCCTGGGCTTTGCTCCAGGAGGGGACAGTGCTGTGTCTGTAAAGCTCATCACCCTTGTGGCTGTAGCTGAGTTAGAAAATGTGATGGTAAAATCAGCTGAATTGGGTAATGCTCTGACTTCCACTGTTCCTACCACTGATAATAAGTTACGAATTCACAGTTGGCTCCAAGAGTTCATCTGAACAAAGCCACCTGTTAAAACTGACTGTTTGCTGGTCTCTTCACAAACACAAAACATCCAGTGCCGCAAACCCGGCGCTCTTGGACACGACCTTCTCCACAGCCACTTTCAACGGAACAGTTTTCTGTTTACATGTGTAATTATAGCTCTGAAAACAGCAACTCCATGCAAGAAATCCCACAGGTGCCTGTTGCCATAAGAAATGTTCCCATTTCATGCACGGCTGCCCTGCAGTCGCAGGGGCGGCTGACGGAGGTTTGTTGCTGATGCAAATGACTCACTGATGGGAATTCTCCAAACTGCCAGGAAACATGTGTGCAATCCCATCCTTACTTGGTTTCACTTACCTCTGTAAGTGAAAAAAAATCACAACACTTTGGCCATAAATTTAGATTTGAAAGCGCTCTGGGCAGGCTCAGGGCTGAAACAGTTGGATCACAGCTCTGTCTCCTCCTGTGGACCAAATAACACTTTCTCTTTAGCTGGTGCAAACCCAATTCCCTCCTCTGGGAATTGTGCTGGTTTGTGCCCACTGCAGAGCTGGCTGTGTCTGGAGGACAAGTGTTGCTGACCACTCCTGTGTAAAGCAAATATTTTCTATAGAATCTGCATTGACTTCCACTGGTGTCCTTCCCAGGACAGAGGCAGGCTTGGATTTAAACCTTGGCATCAGTCTCCTCAAACAGTAGTAGGCATTTCTCCAGAGCCAAAAGAACCCCCAGCGACTAAAAAACTGTCAAAACACAAATGCAGAGGCAAAACTCAGCGCATTTGCCCAATGAATATTAGAACAGCTTTTTAAGAAATCCCTGTTTCCTCTTCTCTTTCTCTCTCATCCACCTTTGCTCCCACTTTCTGGAGGATACATCCAAGATGCGTTAGTGGAAGCTGTTCTAATCGTTTTAGCAGTTTCTGGGTCATGAAAAACAAAGAAAAGCTTATTAACGAGAAAAATGAAATAAGATTTCCCTAAGCTGATTGCCCACAAAAAAAAAAAAATTTCCACATTCATTTTTCTCTGTAAAATAGAAAACATCTGTCACCATTTCAGTGTCTCAGTGTCCCTGCATGTGTTTCAGCCCAGGCTTGATCAATAAATGCCCATTTTCACACCTTCTTTCCTAATCTTTTTAGTTAAGCTCAAATAGTTACAGACCAAACAAAGTAAAACCAGTTAGGTGAGATCTTTGTCTGCAGGACTTGGTGCTGGCATTGTTTTGAAATATTAAAATATATATATCACTAGCAGATCTTACTTGGGCCACAGCCACGCTCAGCACAAGTCCCAGAACACTGGAACAGAGCTCAGTACTTTGTGTTGCTAAACAGATTTCTTTGCCAAGGTTCAGATTGTGCAACCAAGTCCCAACAATGGCACAGATTGTACAATGCAACCCTCATAAATTAAGCTTCCAAACTGCAAGGTTGTTGTTTCTATTTGCCACCAGGTTGAAAATATCCAGCTCTTTCAGAGCAGTAATTAGAGCAGGTAAAAATGAGTGTTGATAGCTTTCCTGACAACATCAAGGTACAAAAAAGAAGATTTCGTACGTTGGCAGGTATGACTTTTCAGGGAGCCTTTTGTTTCCATTTGACAAAATTTAGTAGTTTTGTTAAAATGAAATAACCATTTTTTTTTTTTTAGTTCAGAAGGTTGCTTATACACATGCACGATCTCAAAACCTCGGTAATTGTTGTTGTCACCTTGGCACAGCCCTCAGAGAGGACTCTCGGCGCAGGGGGCTCACTGTCGACGTGAGACTCTTTTGAAAGTTCAGAACCCAGAGGAAAAGCCCAAACAGTGTCCTGGAGAGAGCCTGAGGATCCCAAACAGCCTGAGCTTCCAGCCCTGCACTGCTCTGAGCACCAGAACTGAGACTGATGGCTTGGAGCAGGACTTGGGTAAGGTGGCATCTCCCGGGGGGTCAGAGCGCGGTGGTCACTCAGTGCCCTCCCAAGGTGCTTCTTATGCTGTTGCAACAGGATGAATGTTCTGTTCTCCTTCATTGCAAGAGAATTCTTGCTGATGGTTCTGGCTTGGGCTGAAAAAATTTCTGGGGTGACGAGGGATTTCAAATAGATGATTTGTGTTCCACGTATCGAAGGCGAAGAATGAATATATGAAAAAATGTCCCCTCAACGTTCATTTTACAGTCTAACACATAATATGACATTTTTATTAAAATGGCATAAAATGCAACAGGAATTCCTTGCCTTTTCCATGCAGGGCTGTGCTGTCTCTCAGGTGTGAGTTCAGCAGTGTCACTGTGACAGCTACAGACAGTCCCTGATGGAACAAACCCCTTTGAGCTCAGAGACATTTCCAGCACTTTGCAGCTTCATCCAGGGGTCTCCAGGAGCCTTACAATTAATTTTTCATAATTACCACATCAGAGCAGCATGAAATATTGCCCTGCCTGTACAGCAGGAGGCATCAAGGCACAGGCCATGGACAGGGGTTCCAAAGGGTGCAGGAGGAGTGGAGAGATCTACTGCAGGGAGCTCAGGGCTGGCCAGGGCTGGGGTGCAGGACATCGCTGCTTCTGCCCAGAGCAAAGGTTTGCATAGAAACAAGGGAAAGTTTGTGGCTGAAAGGGTTAAATGACAAACAGTAGCGTGCAGACCAAGAGATCTCTGCCTGCTTCCACCAAACAGGAGCAGATGGTGCATTGTTTTAAGGGCTTTTCCGAGACAAAAGGACAAGATCAGATAACCTTTCCTCAAAGAGGGTACTTACAAAAAGCCTTTGCTCTTATTAAGGATTCTTCATTGTTTTCCCCACAACATTTTATATGTAATATTGGATTTTGAGGTGATGGAGAAGCCAGCATTGTTTACTATGCTTCTCCCTACCCCCCAGGGACTAGGAGGGCATCCTCTGGGGTTGGACAGCAAGTCTGTTGTCTGAAGTGTTTACCATAAGCGAAAGACAATGTATTTATTTACTATTGATAAGTAAGGGCCCGATCTGGCATAAATATCCTGCCATCCACCATTCACCACAGGAACAATAGGAACTGCTTCCTCGTGTCTGTGCCAGGAGAAACCTCCACCTTCCCTGGGAGCCCAAGGCTGGGCTGTGAAGCAGCACCTCCACCACGGCCACGCTGCTGCAGATGAGGCACAGAACTGTCACGCCGGGGACAATGTGCCTTTGAAATATGGGTCACAAGTGGGGCTGTTCACCACCCTCAGCAGGAACGGGGCATTCAGAGCCGGGGCCGCATTGTCTGCTCTGAGGCATCACCCCAGCAGTTGGTTCTGGGCTTTCACAGAGCACAGAAGTCACCCTGCACGAGCAGCATAATGAGGGGTGATTATACAACTGCTGCCAGACAAACATATTTACCTTTAAAGGGGTACTTGCATCACCTAATCTGTACCTGCTACGCCAAAGGCGTGAAAAAATTTCTGTAGTAAAAATACTTGGCAAAATTACAAATTTCATTTTCAAGCTTCATCAAGCAGAGTATGAGAAGCAGATATTCACAAAATATTTGTAACTCTTTGCTACCTGCAGTAAGACTAAACTTGTCCCGAACTGTTGAATTTTTTTTTTTAAACACAGCCAGTGTAAGATCCAGAATTGCAAATCCTATAAGCACATGCTGTGGTGAACAAAAATAGTCTCCACAGACACTGGGAAGTATTTCACATAGTTCTTATTTCTAATCAGTTTAGGCAAAACACTTGGTATAACCGAGTGAGCTGATAAGGAAGTGGTTTACATATTACACCACTACATAAAATCTTTCCATTATTGCTGCTAGAACACCAGGTCTCTTCCATAGGGAGCTGAGGAGATGAGCTACACTTTCCTTGATACTTCAGCACATTCCCTGAATAGAGCTCACAGTACCCAATTTTCTGTATTGCCATCAAATAAGAGAACTAGATGATTTAAAATAAACCCAATATTTTGCCTGTGCCCCTTCCTAGAGCCTTGTGATTGGCCTATGAGCCAGACTGGACTAAACGAGCCAGAAATCCCATTTCATCAGACCAGACATTTTTCTTTCTTTCTTTCTGTTAATATTGGAGAGATAACAAAGTTTAAGCCAAAATTAACTGTTAAAAGAGTATTTTCTAAATGTTGAAGCTTAAGCCTGTCTACTGCTTTAAAGTAATTTGCATTAGGAAAGGAAATGGAGTGTTTCCATTATTCTTAAAATGCAGAATTTTAACCAGAATTACAAGGAAAATGTATTCAATGTAACATCTTTCCCCTAAACCGCTGATTGACATATTTTCTCATATCACTAGAGGGAGCTGCCTTCTTGCTTCTAGCAGAGGGAGAACTGATTAAATTGGTGGAATCAGCACAGAAGTGTATCAGCGTGGTTTCAGCTAATTGTGCTCTGATTGATAGCACCGAGCTAAGGCAGCTCTTCCTGTTCCCTTCCAAAGCTTCAGTGAGCTCCATCCTCAGCCTGCAAACACCTCCGAAGTGTCTGCAGTGATGGGGTCGTGACTTGAGGGAATTTGGTGTAACTGATGAGGAACAGAAGGACCATTCCATGGAAATTCGGGCTGGTGGTTGGGTCCAGGTTCAGGCCCAGCTCTCTCCTGATCTCCTGCAGCAGGAGCTGCCCTGCTGCTCTGCGGGAGGGGCAGCAGCAGGGTGAGGTGCTGCCATGTGCTGCAACATCTGGCTGGGAGCTGAACTCGGGCCAACCCTCCACACCAGAGGATTTAGACACAAACACAGACTATGTGGAGGGCAGGAGCAGCACAGGCCACATTAATCCCTTTGTTTAGTAAGCAGCTACTCTTCAGTGACAAGTGGGATACCAGACGTATTTATAAAGGAGAGAAGAACCTGATTCAGCAGCCCTGGAAATGCACATTCTCCCGGGTACTCCAGGGTGCAGATCAGCACATCGATTTTCCTGAGTGAACAAGCACAGCCTTCAAGTGGAGAGTCTCTTGCTCAGGGGCTGCTCTTGGCTCACAGGTCCTGCTGAAGGAGGGCCAAACAGCCTGTGCTGGGTTTCTCAGCTGTGATCAGGAGTTACCAGCCCTCTTTTCTGCACCTCCATTTACCTGTCATCACTCCAGCTCTGTTCCTGCACATTAACAGAGGGCTGGAATGCTGGGTGGTGTTGCACTCACCTCCCTTACCTGAGCAACACCTTGAAATAATAAAGCAATTGAGCCAACACAGTAATTTTGGAGAGGGGAAGGATTGCCCAAAAGGGGGCAAATGATCAATTCTTTCTGGACCTGTTGCTCTGCTCCACAGCAGCATTTCAGGACTCTTTGCACCCCGTATTCCTGCACAGCCAGGGAATTAGGAAGTCAAAGTTGTGCTCATGCTAAAGTTGCAAGTGTGTATTTTTGTAATAGCTGGGTTGGTCTGATTGCTGACATGGGCAGAAAGAGGAAAAGCTGTCCTTGAGTAAAGCAGCAGTAAAATGCTTCTGCCTTGCTTCAAGTGATTAGAAAAATGAGACTTTTAGCCTGGCTTTTTTAATTATGTGTCAGGGAGATTCTACAGGGCTTTACTGAGATTCTGCAGGTGCAGCGGAAAGTGATTTAATAAATAGCATTTTTTTCCCAAGACTGAGTGTGTGCACGTTGGAGCTATCTGGGGAGGCAGTAAAATGCCATTCATCATCACAGAAAAGGATGGGAAGTTTAGCCAGATGGCATTTTCTTTAATGCAGGATGTTACAACACAAGAAATGCATCTGGAAATAGCCACAATTAGGAAAATTATGCTCAAAAGCAGTGAAAACAGATCAAACTTTTTAATCACTTCGAGATCAATACCAGTGGTCAGGCTTTGAGCAGAACAACAATAGCATTGTTCAGTTTGAGGCACAAATTAGAAATATTTGCCAGGTTTTAAACTATATCCCAATAGATGATCATACTTCCAAGTGGCCCAGCTATTAGTATTAAAAGCTACTCAGACAACTTAGCATCAACAAATTTAGCTTGCTTTTTTTTTTTTAATAAAATGATCTTATTTGTTAGTATTGAAGGAGCTTTTGAAAGTGGTGTCTGTTTACCTGCTGAAGAACTGTTCACTTTTCTTTTTTTTTTCTCTATTGCATTGCTTCAAAATTTCCCTGTAGAGACAACAGCTCTTTCACCCACTCAGTTTTCCTAAATATGCCATTTCACAAAATCATCTCTAGCAACTACCAGCATTAAAAAGTCTGAATCAGTCCTCAGAATTAGCAAGATTGGCTAAAACCAAAAATACTTCTAAAAGGATGAACTCTTCCTTTGACATGTGATTCCTAGGTAATTCAGTGTGATTTTGCCTTTTCCAGCCACCCTCCAAACCCATGAAATGTCCATTACTAAAATAAAAGATGAGATTTCTCATCCAGTCCCTTGATTCTGAGAAGGAGGGGGTTAAGAAAACCCTCCCATAGTCAGTGGTAAGTGAAATGTGCAGTCAGGCTGTTCATAAAAACAGAGCAGCAGCCTAATAGAAAATCTGCATCAGGCTGGAAGATTTAATATTTTATTTCACTCACACCCACATAAACACAAACCCCATCCTGGTATGCAAACAAGGCCACATCTCTGCTCCTCCTGTGTTAAAGATCCTTCAGTATTTAAAGCAAAAACAAACCCTGCATGTTGTGGGCTTATCCTGCAGCGTGGGGCAATTTGGATTCAGATGATCTGGAGAGAGACACAGATTTTATCTCAAGTTTCCAAGCCAAACCTATTTCTATTTATGACCCCCACTTCAATTCATTTATGACTCTGGTTGCTGTGACAGTGGCACAGCACAGAGTAAACACCAGACCTGTTTGCATAAGCTGAGCAATTCATCTGAGGAGCTCAAAGCAGCCAAGAACATATCTCTGGTAAACATTACATCACCTGCAGTGTCCAAGACAGGCAGGGGAGTTACAATAAGGAAGGAGCAGGGAGATAGGTGCCCGTGGAACAAGAAAGAAAGCATCTCCACTTAAAAATGAAAGCTTTTTTCCAGGGGTTTTTGTCCCCCTGTGGCAAAAGAGGAATCAGCCTGCACCCCTGCACACATGGAGGGGGGACAAGGGATGCAGCTCAAGTTCCTGAAGAAATGACCTGTTGGGAAGCTTTTCTTTTGTACCTGGTGGATCTAATCCCATTGGTGCAGCAAAGGAGCAGTGGGACCAAGAGTGACAATAACCCACACTCTGGAATTCAGGCTCAGAACAGGAATTGTTCCCCAGTCCTCTTTCCTGGCATAGACCCTCAAGTTCTACCTCTTCCCAATACTTGCAGGACTTCGTGCTCACAGATTTTTTGACAGGATGTAGGGAGTGACATTTTCCTTCTGCAGTTATGGCAGAAGAAGTAAATGTATGCAGAGAAGTTATTTTGGGAATAAAGGCAGATGTCAGATTTGGGACACTTCCAAAAATAGGCCCAGGGAGGATTCAAAAGGAAAATGCAGTAGGAGCAATGTACACATTCCCCTTGTGATGATCCCTTGTTTATATATCAGGACTCAGACACGTTTGGGAAGTACAGTCAGGTAATGCAGCAGAGAAGGCTGAGAAACAGATGCCCTGGAACTCTGTTGGCAATACCTTGGTACTGTCAGATTATTTCCAAGGTGTACTGGCCTCAGTGGTGAGCCAGCAAGTCAGCCCTGCTGGGAAAACACTTCATAAATGCTTAAATACCAAAGGATTTTGTCGGTGTAGAAACACACTTTCAGGGCAGCAACTGGAATCTGAAGGGATCTGGTTCCACTGTCTGCCCCTGGTTAACTCTGATATTTCTCCAGCTGGCAGCCATTAAATGAAGAACAGGTTCTTTTAATTAAATGGTGACTGTTACCATCTATCTTCTAAACTTCTGCAGGTGAGGGAGACTGTAGCTACACAGAGCTGGAACACAAACACAGGAGCCACCTGGACATTTTGAGGCAAACCTCCCTACTGCTGGCTCACAAACTGAAGGTCAGTGAAGGTGCTGCTGTCCCTGGATTCAGGTGTGCTTAGGTGATAATCAGCTGATCTGCAGCACGTTTATAAACCCCCAGGGAGCTATAAAGGAGAGGTACCAGCCTTTATTTGCTGTTTGGAGATCTTCCTGTAGCTCTGGTGGGTAAGAACAGGTTGCTGTGCTGCAACCAAAGCAGTGTTTGTCCTGCCCTTCTCTCGGAGCTTGCTGCCCTTTGCTCCCCAGCTTTGAGGTGCTGTGTCACCTGGTTAAAAACACCATTTATGGTGTGTCATTTCCTAACACAGATCCATCAGCTCCAGCAGAAACAGCAGCTTATGGTGCTGAGGGAGAAAGCAAAGCAAGAGGTTCAGGAAAGCCAGAGGTTTTTGAGTGACTTGCTGCAGCACAGCTCTGAGGTAAGTTATCATTTCATACCCTGGGTTAACACCTCTAGGTTCAGCAAAGTGTTTCTCCAATCCCCACTGGGTTTTATTCTCACTTAGAGTACCTGAATCAAAAGAGGTTTTTTAACTCATAAAAGCTGTAGATCAGGGTAACTTTTTGGAAGTGCTCGGGTCTCTCAGGTAACAGAGTCCCTTAGACTGTCACTTGGAGTGTTGGTCTGAAATCACTGAGGTGCTGCAGCTTTTGGTGTCTATGGCTGGTTTTGTTGTGAAATCAAGAGAAGGTTTTGAGTTCTCAAGAGACAATCACAGTGATCCTTGCTCAGGCACGACAGACTAGTGAGACGATAATATTGACCAAAAAGTATCCTTTGCATTATTTACAACGAGGTGCTTTCCCAAGAAGACAGGGAAGAAGGCTTTGAAGTTCTGCCTTTCAAAAAGATCATGGAGGTCTATGGATAATTTCTGTGTGTGCAGGAGTGCAGGAGCTCCAGAGGCAGTGATCCTTCTGTGCCAGGATTGTCCCACACAGAGCAAACACGGAGAGGACACTGGTTGGAAGGTGACCACGCTGCTGGCAGGTACAGGAGGCAGGATGCAGTGAGGCACCCTGATGATTTGACTGTGGTTTGACTGTATGAACAATTTAGGGCACTAAAGCAATTGCAATACAGTCCTTTTACTCTGATTTATGCCCAAACCATAATATTAACACCTTCCAATCTTGGGGGAGATGCTGCATTTTTAAAAGGTAGAAGGCCCTTTGAAACTTGTGGGACAACATAATTTTCCTCATTTTGCATTACCCTCATATACCCTGGTGGGAATGAGAATATTGTATGTGCACATTTTTATGTTCATTTAAAGTGGCATAAAGACCTGAGAATTGCTTCCAGGGTCTTATGGATGCAATTACCAGAAAGGCACCTTTGCACAGCTAGAACTTTCAACATCACATAAAAATGAGCAGCATTCTGGTTTGAAAAAGATTCAGCTTCCACAGAGGCTTAGCTACGAAAGGTAGGAATTGAAATAGTAACTCTGACTGCAATAAGGAAATATTTCCATTCTTTCTTACCTTCAGTAATCAAGAGATGTGTTCACTGAAACAACCTGCATTGAAGATAGAAAGAGATCACACTCCAGTGGACCCCAAAGTAGTGGGAGAGAGAAAACCTCTGGGAGGAAGAGGTTCATATTGCTCAGTGCTGCAAGAAGGTGAACGCTAAGTTGAAGGATTTGGTGGTAGAGGGAAAACAACACTTCTTAACACAGCATTAGAAACAGTGAAACGTCCAGGGGCTGGGATGTGCAATCACAGGATGGCTTGGGTTGGAAGGGACCTTAAAGATCATCTCATTCCAACCCTTGCCATGGGCAGGGACATCTTCCCCTAGACCAGGATGATGAAAGCCCCATCCAGCCTGTCCTGGAACAAAATTTGGTAACTGACTTTTAAAATTTTGATGTAAACACTTACATTCATTATCCATATCTAAACCACAGCGATCTCCCTTTGTACTCTGGACCTCTCTACAGAAAATTATCTTGGGAGCTGGGAGTTATTTACCCTATTGATGGGCCCCTTTTTCCTTTTTACCTGTTTACCATGATTGCACTTAAAAGAGAGTTTAGTTCATACCTTGCTCCTGTGAGTGAACAGCCATGGGGTGACTCCTCCGGCTCTGAGGGCAGTGCATGGGTCTGGCTTCCAAGTCTTTGCGAAGGTGCCTTGAATTTGGGAATGGACGTTAACTTGTACTGTGGGAGTTGGTTTTTTCGGTCTCTCTTTTTCCTTCTGTTACAGATATTTCATTTATAGTGACGTTAATTCCTTTCCTTAGGATCCCTGGCAGCAGATCACAGGGAGCCACTGCACAACCATCAAACTGCACATCTGTTGTCACCTCTGGTGGCTCTGCCCCATGGGGAGACCTGTGCAAGGGACAACTCTGGAGAGAGCAGTGACCAGGCCAGCTGTGACAGCCAGGTAACACCAGCTCTGGGAACAGTCTGAGGGGTGTTTTTCTCTGAGTTCGAGGTGGTTTTGGCTTTTAGTCCCTCTATCAGTGACTCTGACGCTCTGCTCTGTCCCCAGTGCAGCGCAGCCATTCCACTCCACGGAGGCTCCAGCCCGTTCTGCCGCCTCAGCCTGGCCCTGGCGCAGCAGTGCCTGAGGGGAGAGGAGCTGCGGGCTCGACACCAGGCCTCCCTCCTCCAGCTCCGCAAAAAGGCTCTGAGGGAGAAGGCCAGGGCTGAGCTGGCCTGGCTGGGCCACCAGAGACGGTGAGGGGGCACAACGGGCAGGACACCAAACCTGCCATGGCGGGGACAGGGCCCTCAGCGCCAGAGACCTGCCAGGCCAGGGCTACTTTTCTTCTTTTTCTTCCTTTCAGGGAAAGAGAACAAATATAAAACCCGTCTCTCAGAAAGCAAGTGTAGGTATAGTAGAAGAGGAGAGGAGTCTGCATGGTTTTAGTCTCTCCAGAGCAGAGCTGAGCTTCCAACTGCAGCCTCCTTTGGGGTGGTGCAAGGCGCCAACTGGGCTGAGGAGCCCTCAGGGACGGTGAGGGGTGTCCCTCAGCACTGACTGGGATGAGGAACCCTCAGGGACAGTGAGGGGTGTCCCTCAGCACTGACTGAGATGAGGAACCCTCAGGGACGGTGAGGGGTGTCCCTCAATG